CCACCCCCCCCCCAAAAGAACCTATCCTCGGCCAAGGGGAAGCGTAACTCATCCCAACGGACCAAATATCTAAATCCGACTAATCCACCGATGTATGCCTATGCCACATCCCGCAATCCCGCACAGCTGTAGGACTCACCCACCGTAGCACATTCGCCATCCCCACGATCGATCATACACCAGCGTCCCTCCCCCATGATCTTATCAGATGCAGTCTGGTGTCCCACGATGATTTGCCGAAGTGGGGACCGCCGAAGTGGGGACACAAGTCCGAGGGTGTGAAACCCGAGTTGTTGTTCTGTAGTCGGAATTGGTGCCGGCTCGTATTAATTCCGTGTATAGTTATCTTCTCGCACTCTGGCGGGCGTGCACGAGGTGTGAAGAAGATGGGGGAAATACATCCCCGACCTGTCGCTTTGCTATGAACAGAGAAAATACACCCTACGGAGTATACATATCCCTTTGAGTGCGCCTTTTTGGCAACAAGGTCGGCCACGAAACCTTCCACACTAAAATCCTCATGCGATGTAGCTCTTTGTAAACTTGGAAACTGATGGTACTTATACCATCATACTAATTCTTAGTAGGAAAATGTACCTTTTGATTCAAGACTTTTTATTGGTTCACATCCTTGTTCGGTACGCAAGTGGCACCTTAGCGCACTCAAAGGGATACATGAGACTTTTATATATTTTCACATTTTCACATTTATACACACACACACACACTCACTCACATATATATATGTATATATATATACATGATATACTAGGGATATTTATAGCCAGTTTGGCCAGAAAAAAAACCATCAACCATTCTACCGTCACGCCATCCCTCCTGTCCCTCGTCGAAAGCACAGCCGAGACCAGGCTCGTCGGCGAGGACGCACACCTCGCCTTGGCTTCCGAGTCGCTGTATTCGACTTCCGAGGCGCTGTACGTATCGTCTCGGGCGTTGTTGGGCCCGGGCCGTACGGAGTATTGGGAATAGTAACACGAAAAGATTGGTGAATCTTGGCTTCTTGTGTCACCCTTTAAAGGACTTTGGACGAAACGCTCTGCCGCCGACACGCTCCCATGGTGGTCCGGTTAAATAGTACGTACCCACAGCGTGATTTTTGGTGCGCCGAGTAAACACGGAAAGTTGATGCCATACGACCAGACGCCATCTCCAGCTGGGCTCCGCCATCCGGAGCGGAGGCCCTCCCCGGCTTCCAGAAGTTGCCAAGGCTGAGGTGTTGCAGGCATCATGTTGTCGCAGTTGGTATGAGCATATCGTGCCGGGCGGCGGATTACTCTAGAATCAGTAATTGTTCATGGCGCGACGTCATTAGAAAGCAGTCCGTGTGGCAGCGGGCCGGTATGTAGATGCTGGAAACATTGCTGAGCACATGCTGAGCACATGCTGAGTCTGGCGCTGCCTCCAAGGGCGCAGAGCAGCCACGCCCCGCACCGCCCCGCCAGTAGGTGACGACGGACGGGTGGCGGGTAACGGCTGGGACACCGGGAACTGGTGTGCACAACTGTTGTGCTTCCACATGTCACCCCAGACGTCTTGCTTTATGCGTTTATGGTCGTGTCTGGCGACTTGGCCACTCACTCTCCGGAATCTTCCTCTCTGCATGCCACCTCCCGTCCCATCTGCCGCTTCGTCCTTTGTCATCACGTCGGTTGTCTCAACTGTGCATCGCCAAGTCGCTGGCTTGCTTCATCTGCAACACAGCGTCTTCCTTCGCAGCCCAGCTCGGCTCAGCTCAGGTCAGCTCACTTCTTCTTGCTTTATTTCCTGTCTTGGGTACTCCGTAGTACCTCCAAAGTAAAACCCCCACCCCTCCAGTGGCCCCGCCATCAACTCGGTCACGTGCTGCGTATCGCCTGGCTCGCGCTGGCCCGGAGTGACCAGACTCTACAGGACGCTGGGGGCCAGTCTTAGCGTCAGGTCTTGCTGAGCGATTCCCAGCCGCCGACTCCAGACACGCGCCAACGCCAGACATCCTCCAAGTCGCTGCTGCCACGCTGCACTGCCTCAACCTCCCCAGCTAAAGGTGCTTGCTGTGAGCAAACTCGTCGTCACTCGCACCGTCGACGCCGTTATTTGCAACCACCACCCCTTTGTGGGGACCCCGTCCGTCGCCCTTTTGGCCGACGTCGTTTACGTCTTCTACGAATTGCTTCGTCGCGTTTCTCTTGTAACGGGCGCTCCCTCACGCATCCCAACGCCTCTCTCGCCAGCAAGGCCTCGTCGACAATGAGTGCCCGCACAGAGTCGGGGCTTCCAAGGTCAGTATACGCATCGTTCAGCGCAAGCGAAATCAATCAAGACGCCAAAAAATCATGAGCTGACAGCCCGTCTAGCAAGCCCAATCTTCGCGTCACAAGTATGTCGTTAACACCCCTCATCTGGCTCGACCTCCTCGCATTCGACTCTCGCCAAACACCAGTTACTGACATGACCTGGAACAGTCATTGCTGCAGATGGCCTGTATAAAAGAGATGTTTTTAGTATGTCCCCGTCTATTATCACGGCGTGATGCTCAGATGATGCTCGAGCCGCTCTGCCCTCGAAACACCCTTCCTAACCAGCAACAGGATTCCCCGACCCATTTGCTGTGGCCACCATCAATGGCGAACAAACAAAGACCACCACCGTCAGCAAACGGACGCTGAATCCATATTGGAACGAAAGTTTCGACTTGTACGCACATATCCCCCCCTCATCTTACCCCCCCCCCCCCCTCCCCCTGCCCCCCCTTCCGGGGCCACTCTCCTGTCTGTTGCCATCAGTGTCAAAATTTCCCGTTCCCGACCCTGAATCTCACCAATAATATTACAGTCGAGCAAATGAAGGCAGCATCCTGGCCGTGCAAGTCTTTGATCAAAAGAAGTTCAAGAAGAAGGACCAAGGCTTCCTTGGTGTTATCAACATTAGAGTTGGAGATGTCATGCCAGATCTTAGCCCTGACTCTGATGGTACGTCTCCCATGTCTCAGAGTTATGCATCGTCTTGCGAGAGACGGGAAACAGCTACTAACTGACGTCTTGCATCAGACCAGATGCTTACGAGAGACCTCAAGAAGTCGACAGATAACCTCGTGGTCCACGGAAAACTCATCATCAACCTTTCATGTAACCTCAGCACGCCCGCACGCGGGGGTCAAGCTTCCAGCAGTCGACCGGCCCTATCTGTTCCCGGTGCATCCAGCTCTTCCGCACTCTCCGCTCCCGATGGGCGACCAAGCTCATCCATGTCGAACCAGAATGGCATTCCTCCTGGGGGTCCTCAAATGAGCTTGCCTCATCACCCACCCCTTGTCAGCTCAAGCTCTACGCCTGCTCCGGGAGTCAACGGCCCGAGTTCGTCACGGCCAACTAGTCAATTGAGCCCCTTCGAGGACAACCAGGGTCGACTTCCCGCTGGCTGGGAAAGACGAGAAGATAACCTGGGCCGAACCTACTACGTTGACCACAATACGCGCACAACTAGCTGGAATCGCCCGACCGCCAATGGCGGGGCAGAGACCCCCGAGCGAGAAGGCGCAATGTCGAACCAGAATGGCATTCCTCCTGGGGGTCCTCAAATGAGCTTGCCTCATCACCCACCCCTTGTCAGCTCAAGCTCTACGCCTGCTCCGGGAGTCAACGGCCCGAGTTCGTCACGGCCAACTAGTCAATTGAGCCCCTTCGAGGACAACCAGGGTCGACTTCCCGCTGGCTGGGAAAGACGAGAAGATAACCTGGGCCGAACCTACTACGTTGACCACAATACGCGCACAACTAGCTGGAATCGCCCGACCGCCAATGGCGGGGCAGAGACCCGAGAGCGAGAAGCCGCAACAGCAGTCGAACGACAGCGGCATCAGAACCGTACGCTACCCGAAGACCGGACAGGCACTAGCTCGCCAACTCTGTCGCAGCAGCAACAGCAGGGTGGCTCCCAATCAGGAGCCGGCAGCCCGACCGGTCCCGGCAGCCCTTCCCAAACCAATGCCAGCACAACGGTAATGCACACTGGTGCAACCAGTCCTGGCACCGGCGAGCTGCCACCACTCTGGGAACAAAGATGGACGCCAGAGGGCCGTCCCTACTTTGTCGACCACAATACCAGAACGACTACCTGGGTTGATCCGCGCCGCCAACAGTATATTCGCATGTATGGCGGCCAAAACAACACGAATGGCCAGATTCAACAGCAACCAGTCTCACAGCTCGGGCCCCTACCTAGTGGGTGGGAAATGCGGCTCACCAACACTGCTCGGGTGTATTTCGTCGACCACAATACCAAGACTACCACGTGGGATGACCCTCGTCTACCATCTTCCTTGGATCAGAATGTTCCTCAATACAAGCGAGATTTCAGACGCAAGCTCATCTACTTCCGGTCTCAGCCTGCTATGCGCATCCTGAGCGGCCAATGCCACATCAAAGTCAGACGTGAGCATATTTTCGAGGATTCGTTTGCCGAGATTACGCGTCAGTCCGCCACTGATTTGAAGAAGCGCCTGATGATCAAATTTGACGGAGAAGATGGTTTGGATTACGGTGGTCTGTCTCGAGAGTTCTTCTTCCTGCTGTCTCACGAGATGTTCAACCCGTTCTACTGCCTGTTTGAGTACTCTGCGCACGATAACTACACCCTGCAGATTAACCCGCACTCGGGCATTAACCCGGAGCACCTCAACTACTTCAAGTTTATCGGACGGGTAGTTGGTTTGGCTATTTTCCATCGACGATTTCTGGATGCCTTCTTCATTGGAGCACTATACAAAATGGTGCTGGGCAAGCCTGTCTCGCTTGCTGACATGGAGGGTGTTGATGCCGACTTCCATCGGTCCCTGCAGTGGATGCTGGACAACGACATATCTGGCGGAATTCTGGAGCAGACCTTCTCCACCGAAGATGAGCGATTCGGTGTCATGACCACCGAAGACTTGATCCCCAACGGCCGCAACATTGAAGTCACCAACGAGAACAAGAAGGAGTATGTTGATCTCATGGTAAAGTGGCGTATTGAGAAGCGCATCGCGGAGCAGTTCCAGGCTTTCAAGGAGGGCTTCCACGAACTCATTCCCCAGGACCTCATCAATGTGTTTGATGAGCGTGAACTCGAGTTGCTCATTGGCGGCATCGCCGAAATTGATGTGGACGACTGGAAGAAGCATACGGACTACAGAGGATACACCGAGTCGGATGAGGTTATTCAGAACTTCTGGCAGGTGGTCAGGTCATGGGACGGAGAACAAAAATCGCGTCTTTTGCAGTTCACTACCGGAACTTCTCGAATCCCCGTCAACGGCTTCAAGGATCTTCAGGGAAGTGACGGACCAAGACGATTCACCATTGAAAAGACGGGAGAGCTCACCAACCTTCCCAAGGCACATACCTGGTATGCAATCAATCACTAGCGCGGTTTTTTTTTTTTTTTTTTTTTTTTTTGGTGGTGGTGGTAAGATATGGATTATTGCTAACTAGCCATCACCAGCTTCAACCGCATCGATTTGCCCCCTTACAAATCTCTGGACAGCTTGCAAAACAAGCTTACGATAGCTGTGGAGGAGACCATGGGATTTGGGCAAGAGTAATGAAAGATGCAATGTGCAGTGAGATGAGCAAGAATATGTGAACTAGCGATGTTTTGCGTTGCGTCGTTTGGGCCCCCCTATTGAACGCCATTCCGGGGACTCATGTGCTGTAATAGCACTCTCCTCTTGCCCATCTTGGCATATATAGCTTCCCTAGCCCTTTTCCCACATTCCCTGATGAGGACTGTTTTTTTTATTACTGGGCATGATTGATTTTTTTTTCTTCTTTCCTCTCTTTTTGGTTATGCATGTCTTTTTTTTCTTCTTTTTTTTTTTGGAAAAGAATAGCTTGTTCAACATGGGTCGTTCATGGCGCTGGCGGGTTCAATTGTCATCGAGACACGCAGGAAGCAGAGCGGAGCAGCACGAAGCATACATTATTTTGCAAATCACCACAGGCCTGTGAAGCAAAGAGGAGACAGCGAAAGTAGATTGCTTTGCGCGTTGTGAGTGTCATGCACATCTGTGCATGTCGAATCCCGTCTCAGTAGGAACAGACGGCCACAGACGGCGCGGACCTAGAGTATTAAAGATTGACGTCTAGTGTGCGGGTTGGCGAGGTCATTATCAGCCGTCAGGACAGTGTCTGTGCCATGAATCATCGGTCGGTAGAGCATAGGGGTGGGCTAGTGCATATTATTCGGCCACAATAGTAATAACTACGGCAGCGTACAATACGATATAAATACATGTGGTTTCTTTGTCTGCGAGACGTGCAAAAGGAACGGCAGTCATGTCAAAAACATTCAAAAATGACTCTCGGCGGAATTGGCAAACCCCCCCACTATGTGTTGTACAAATTCGCATTGTAGGGTCTCTATCTTTACCGTGCTGTGCTGTCCCGTGTACACCTGATAAAGAACAAAGGGAAAACGAAATATCATGTGCTGGACCTGCTTCGCTCACGTCCAGCCTAGCATACTATGTGCAGTGGTTCTTTTTATTTCTCTTGGGGCTTCATCACACCCCATAACAGCTACACGCCCACGCTCTGGACAATTTCAACTCTTTCCTACCCTCACCCTTACCTCCTGTACCACATGCGTGTAATCTTGGTGTTGCGCATCTTCCTCTGCAGCTGGAAGATGCCGTACATGAGGGCCTCGCTGGTGGGCGGGCAGCCGGGGACGTAAATGTCGACGGGGACGATGCGGTCGCAGCCCCGGACGACGCTGTAGCTGTAGTGGTAGTAGCCGCCGCCGTTGGCGCAGCTGCCCATGGAGATGACCCATCGGGGGTCGGGCATCTGGTCGTAGACCTGGCGCAGGGCGGGGGCCATCTTGTTGGTGAGGGTGCCGGCGACAATCATGACGTCGGACTGGCGGGGGGACGCGCGGAAGATGATGCCCAGGCGGTCCTGGTCGTAGCGCGGCGTGGAGAGGTGCATCATTTCGACGGCGCAGCAGGCCAGGCCGAAGGTCATGGGCCAGAGGGACGACTGCCGCGCCCAGTTGGCGATGACATCGAGCGTGGTCCTGGGTTCAAGTGTCAGTATGAGGGAAAAAGGGGGGGGTGAAGACGTGCGTACAGGGCATATTGGACGACGCCTTTGGTGCCTTCTTCGCTGGGGAGAAGGACTTCCTTGCGAGGTTTGGCGAGGCTTGATCCCGCGCCGTGGGGGGTCAGGGAGCTTGCGTCTCGGCGGTGGGTGATGGGCAGGGCGGCTGCCGCGCGGAAGGGAATGAGCGCTGTCGTCGGCTTGACTGTTTTTTTTTGTGACGACGCTGTTAGCTTTTTTTGGATTTTTTGTATATATGGGGGGTTCGTGTGTGGTGTTTTGGTGTGGCAATTGGTGAGAGGTGTTTGGTCAGAGGGAAATTTCGGAGTCGGCGGGTGAAGGTTTCGGACGTGCCTCGCAGGGCCATTGAGGCCGCGGATCGCGATGACGAGAGCATCTCCACGGGTAGCGTAGGTGATGGCTTCTACGCGCGGATAGGAGGGGAGATGGAGGACCGTCGAGTAGGGGGCGAGGTTGGAAGACGGAGGAGGCGTGATGGTCTTTTGGACGTTGAGATTGCCGTCGGGATGGCGAATATGTGGGTTTGGCCTCGTTGATGGGAATTGGGGGCGTTGTGATTGGCTGAGACGGGACGCACGGGTGCGAGGTTTAGCCGGGTGGGGCGCGGGCGAGCTGCTTGATGGCTACCCTGTAGCTTGGACGGTGATTTTATGTGAATGTTGTTGGGTTGGACTTGATGTTTGTGAGAGAAAAAAATAAATACTGAGAATGAAAATATAAGATATACATGGAAGGGGAGTAGATTGTTTTTCTGGTGGGGTTTTTGTAGTTTTGGAATGTTCAAGGTATTGTACATATAGGAATCGTGGTTGTTTTGTGTGAGGAGGGCCTGTGACTAGCAAGCACTAGAGCCTTGAGTGCGGGGAGGGTTCAGTTGATTCGATGGCCACTCGGGAATTTGACTCGGCGGCAGGCAAACAGCCTTAGGAGAATACAGGGCCGACTTGCCGTCCAAGTGTAACGTCTGGCGTCACACGAGGTTGACTGTCGTGATGAGCTACTTTGCACACGAAAGCACGAGACGAGAGCAGCTGTCTGGTATCAATTTACCTGATGGCCCGTGAGGTGGCGTCATAGCCAGCACCGCAGAAGGAGTTTGCTGGCCGAACGAACTAGATAGTCCCATATGAATGAGGAGGCCCCTTGGCGCGGCCCCGCGTGGGTGAGTCAAGGATATGGAGACAAAGAGGCAGCAAGCCGCGGCGACTAGACATGACCAGACGCTTGCAGACTTGGCCTGCAGACACACACACACCACAAACAATCCTGTTGGAGGGTTGCGCCAATTAACATCCTTCATTATACAGTTGGAATGGAACTTGCTCAGGATGCGTCAATTCTACGTTTCTTACGTCCAAATATGAAGAATGTCGAGTCCTCCGTTTTGTCGCTGGGCAGTCTCTGCTGTCGACTCCCCCCCTTTTCTTTTTAAATTTCTATTTTTACTTTTTGTTTGGCCGCGCCCCTTCTCCCCGTTGCCACCAGAGGAGCCCATTTGCGTGTGCCGTCTTTTGCGCCTCCAGGACGCCATCCTGCCCATTCGGTCCAACCCCTGGCAAATCGACGTCTTTATCTTTTGCTGAAGACTCCAATCTCCCGTGGCTTCTCCCGTGGTTTGCTCGCAAGCCACCGACGAAAGCAGCGGCACGCACACGCTCACACTTGCAATTTCCTCCATGGTTGCATGATTTGATCACAACCCTCGGCCTCGCTCTCCCACGGCGCACGTCCTTCGTCTCATGCCCAATGCCCAACACCAGACGCTGATCGTCAGACGCCAGATGCCAGACGCCCGACCCGACATGGCATTGTTGAAGGTTTGCAAGGGCTGCAGCCTCCGCCAGTGGCCGTCGCGCTTGGCCCTGCGCTACACCACCCTCGTCTTCCTCACCTTGTTTTTCCTCGCCAGCTATACGCTCTGGCACGATGTCAAGTTTTGGGATGCTCAGATCCAGATCCCCCGCAAAACCATCAGCAAGCTGGGAACCAAGCATCCTGTTCGAAAGCTCATGGTCGATGCCAGGGCCCGTCACGATGCCCTCCTTGCCAAACGGTCCCTCACCCTTGACTCTGCCGCGCAGCAGTATCGCAAGCGACGAGGACGCCACCCTCCCCCCGGCTTTGACATGTGGTTCCACGCCGCCGTAGACGTCGACGCCATCGTCGTCGAAGACTACTTTGACAGGATATACAAAGACCTGACGCCCTTTTGGGCTCTCGATCCCGAACAGACCAAGAAGCGAGCCAGTGCCTGGCACCACGTCGTCAAAGTCCGCAATGGCACCGCCGCCGGCCATGGCGACACCACCGACCTCGTGCCTTGGTTGCAGCTTTGGACTGCTCTCGTTGCCGACTTTGCCAAGTACCTGCCCGACGTCGACATGCCCATCAATTACATGGACGAACCGAGACTCCTCGTGCCCCACGACACCATTGCGAAGCTCGTGGCAGAGGAACGCAAAGAGAGACGCATCATTGACCCAACCAAGGCCACCTCCAAGTTCCACGGCCTTGCTGCTGTTGACGCTGCCACGCCCGATCCCTACGATCCTCACTGGTACGGTCCCAGCGAGCAGTATTGGAACTTGTTTGTCAAGACGTGTGGCCCCGACACTCCAGCCTTTGGCGTCCAGCAAGTCCAAGACATGTCGGGACCGGCCGAGTTTCCGCAAAACTACAGACCGCACTACGCCTACAAGGGCTATATTCAGAACTTCACCGCCTCCTCAGATGCCTGCCTGCAACCGCACCTGCGCCAACTACATGGCAGCTTCATCGAGCCCATCAGTCTGTCTTCCACAGAAGAACTCATCCCCTTGTTTGGCGGCTCCAAGCTCCCCACCAACAATGAGATTCTCATCCCGGGAGCCATGTACCTCGACCAGGGCGAGTTCTACTCTGGCGGCGAGTCACACGGCCCATCATGGGACCGAAAGAAGAACGGCGCCGTCTGGCGCGGCGAGGGCTCAGGCGGCCGCGCCAGAGAGCACAACTGGCACCACTTTCAGCGCCAGCGTCTCGTCCACATGCTCAACGGCACAGTCGTATCGCAAGTCGAAGAGTCAGGCGTCCGAGCCAAGACGTTTGAACTGCCCCCGCAAACCATCTACCCCAGTCCGCGCCTTCACCGCGGCAACTTGGGCCCCTTTGCCGACGAGATTGCCGACACGGGGTTTGTCAAGCTGTGCGCACCCGCCGAATGCCCCTTTTACAACGACACCTTCACCGTGCTGGAACACCTCCCCATGAAGCGGCAATACCAGTACAAATTCCTCCCCGACGTCGACGGCAACTCCTTCTCAGCCCGATTCCGCGGCTTTCTCCGCTCCACGAGCCTGCCGCTCAAGGCCACCATCTACGCAGAGTGGCACGACGACCGCCTCACCCCCTGGGTGCACTTTGTCCCCTTTGACAACACCTTCCAGGACCTGTACCCCTTGCTCGACTTCTTCTCCGACACCAACGGGTCCGGAGACGCAGCCGCCCGCCTCATCGCCGAGCAGGGCCAGTCGTGGTCGGAGAGGGTCCTCCGCAGAGAAGACATGGGTCTGTACGTGTGGCGATTGCTTCTCGAGTGGGCGAGGGTGTGTGACGAGAATAGACATACACTCGGCTATGTTGACGACTTGAGGCCGAAGAAGGCTAGCAAGCAGACGTATGCTGGACATGTCTAAATTCTCTCTCTCTCTTTTTTTTTTTTTCATCTTTTTTTTTTCAGTGTTCCGTTCTGGAGATGCCTTTCTACGAATACCCATAGTTGCGTTAATGATGCGAGAGCATGCGGGCTGGCGTTTTGACGGACTCATTGTTTAGGCTTTTCTCGTTTCACCTTCATTGTACATGGTGTGGGGAGGTACCTGACGGCACTAGGGAGGGTTTGTATACCGGGTTTTTTTTGTTAGGATTTTGGATTGAAAACTGGTTCTGGGTAGCATTAGGACTTGCCCTCCTATTCAGGTACGACGGGACAGCCAACGAATTGAAGTAGATGGCTGGGTGGAATGAATTCATATGATTCCTTTGTAACTATTGTATGAGACCAAACAAAACCATTGATGCTATGCTCGTAACCTGTATATTATGCTTTATATCCGCGCCACGTCATGCCCACGTTGGATGCACACAAACAAGCCTTTTTCTTTTTCCTTTGTCCGTTTCCAAATGTCGAGCTAGAGCTGTAGATTCGCCAGTAGGGGCTTGCTAGGCCCGCCCTTCAAGTGCGCCGCAGACCCCTTGTACAGGCTCTGCCAGATGAAGGCCTCGCTGAGCAGCAGCTCAATGTCCTTTTCGGTCCACGTCTTGGTGGGCAGCGACTGGAGGAACATCATGATTTCCTGAAAGTCCATCTTGACCAGCCTGTCGGACCACTTGACGACGAGGGCGGCGCAGACGTACAGGTGGAATTCGGAGAAGCCCTGCTCCTCGGCCTTTTTTTTTTGGCGTGTGTGTCAGCTATGTGATGGAATTTGGGTGGCCAAGGGTTAAAAGGGGAAGGGTCTGAAAAGAAAGAACGTACGAGGTAGGTGTCCCACATGCGGATAATGTTCCTGACGCTTATTTCGCGCATGAGGAGGCAGTTCATCCAGCGGAAGCTGAATTGGATGAACTCGACGCCCTCTTGCTCCAGGTGTTTGGAGAGGGTGGCGTCGATGCGGGCGGTGAGGTCGCGCAGGGCGCCGACCTGGCGCTGGATGCCGGGCTGCGCGACAATGTAGTGGTCTTGGATGCCGTCGAGGAGCTTGGTGAGGCACCAGAAGGAGTCGGCTTCGACAGCGTCGAGCACCGACTTGGGCAGCTGGCCCGGGTCCATGCCGGCCTCGATGTTGGGGTCGGCAATGTACAGGCCGAGGAAGACCTGGAAGAAGGGCGTGACGAGGTCGTTTATGCCCTGGACGTAGCCGCTTGCCGGGTGGCGCACGGCCCAGAGGTACAGGATGCGCTCGAGGGAGCGCTGCGTGGCCTCGTAGCTGTAGAGCTCGATGTGCGGGTTTGTCCGCGGAATGTCGATGCTGATTTGGTGCCAGATGGCTTCGTCCAGGCCTCTTGCTCGGCTGGCCGAGGCTGCGTTGGTGCCAACCCGTTCAAAGGCCTGCCGCACGCCGTCGACGTATTCTTTGCGCTTGCGCTCAAGTGTTGCTACTCTTCTTTCGCTGTTGGTCGGCAGGTAGCTGAGTAGGAGCTGCCACGTCATGGCGCGCACTTCCTCGGGAACGCCTGACCAGGCTAGCGCTCGGAGATCGGGCAGTGATATGGACGACGCTTGGAGGAGCTTCTTAAACTTGTTGATTCTGGTGATTCGAGAGTTGATGGCATCGGCTTCTTTGGGAGTTGCGTTGGTTGGGGTGGAGGGGTAATTGATGAGGTGCAAGGCATTGGCGGGATCTATCATTTCCCCCCTCTTCTGGTTAGAGAGAAGTTTCTTTTGTGATGTGGGAAAGGGCGCGTGAGTACCTTGGAGAATATCTTTATATTGCGGGCGGAGGATTTTGCCCTCGGTCTTTTTCGGCATTGGATATGTTAGTGATGGTCGCTCGACGGCAATGTCGGCACTGTCCGAATGGAGTCTTGCCCCTAGGCCAAATGTCCCATCCAATGCTGTTGATAGGGTTCCGGTGTTGGCTTTGTTTTGCGACGCCACCTTCCTGGACCGTCTCTTCATGTTGGACAGGCTGGGCAGCCCAAAGTCGTCGCCATCGTCGTCATCGTACCCAAGCATATCATCTTCGTCGGCTTTCCAGTCATCGTTGGTATTCGAAAGAAAATTGATGTAGCTTTTGAACGGCGGGGAGCTGGCGACGCCGGTTGACCCTCGTGTTGGAGGGGTCGCTTCACTTAAGCGGCCGCCCTTTGTGGCAGAAGTCGAAGGAGGTGTCTTGGGTCGGTTGCCAGAGAGGTTTCTAAACGAACAAGCAGGTTAGAATATCATGCCGGGGCTTGTAATAGGGATTGGGAATCATCTGTTTCCTGTCCGCGGGCAAGGCACGTACAATGAGTCGAACTTGAGCATATCAGCATGCGAATATGCTGCGCCAACGACAAAGTTGGGGTCGCGACCTGCAGGCGTCGTCACACTTCGCTTAGGAGCATGTTCTCGAGCCGGGGGCCGCCAGAAGGGGGAGGCTGATCTGCAACTATCGTGAGTCTCTGGTCTGCGCTGCCAGAGTAGACGGAAAGACGCTGGGGTAACGCACTCGGAGCGGTCTGTGCTCGAAGGCATTAGCTGGACAATTGCAAACGCATCAAGGATTGGAAGGACAAAATCGAATGGATTGGGCTACATACCGACCTGGACCATTTCCTGCGGCTGCTGGGTGGGCTGTTAGCACCAGGGGACAAATGTTGCCCGACTTCGACGCTGATGATGATGAAATGACACGACATGACGGACGGGTAACGAGCGATGAGGGGCGACGGGGAACATACTGCAGCTGGAGGCTTCTTGCCGCTGCCGGATGACGACCACATAGTCACGGTTGGTGGTCGAGAGGGCGAGATGGACGCTTCATTCTGCGAGGATTGCGCGGGTGAGGCCGGGTGAGAGCCTCGTTGCGCGAGGACTTGGAGATGGGCGACGACGTTCTGGACGTTGTCACGGACGCTCCGTCCGGTCACTTTGATGGCGACAAAGAGGTGGCCGAGTGGATCCAGCGTCAATTGATGGAACAAGTCAACTGGTGTCTGGCTGGCTGTTGCAGTGGCGCTGAGAGTGCTGGGGTAGGGCTCTGGCTCCTGAGAATTAGTGGGCCTTTCCCCGCCGCCGCCCGCTGCAGTCAACTGCATTTGTGCACATGTGTACAGAATCCTCCTGTCGGATCAAACTGCCAGCTTCAAATTGAAACGAACCCCGCGACTTGGGCCTGTCCCTGCGCAAATCTTCATGACACGGTAAAGGCGAAGAGAAATCGCTTGACAAACCACGATTCACATGTGACAAATCACATTCAACCCACATGCAGTCTGCTAGACTGCTGCTCGCTCTTGTAGGCAGTCGGAGCTGCCAAGCTGCCCAACGTCCAGCCCTCTCCGTACCGAGTGTCTGAGTGCCGGACAAACAGGCTGGAGCCACCAAGCCCAATTCGGCACGCACCATCTTAGTCAGCTAGCCTGGCAGCTCCGCAGCCCCCCCGCTGTTCCTAGGCACCACTTTCCTCTCCCAACTTAATCAACTTTTTCTCAACCTTGTTCAGCATCGACCATCATCAACCAAACGTACCACGCGCCATCGCCCAGTGATCCGTAGCGAGTCGATGAGCATCTCACTATTTTAATACCCATCTGCAGATGCCAATCACCACCATCATTTGAATCTCCTGCCATCATTTGTTCCATTTCGCATTCCAGCGTGACCCGGAGAAGTCTTGCAAGTGCTTCGACTCTCCCGGTTTTCAAGCTCTTCTTCTTTGACCTTTGACCATCACAAACATGACGGAACCTGAGAATTTTGAAGAGGATCTCTTCGCTGATCTGTATGGGCGACCCACAATACAGGCCACACACTGAAAGCGCTTTGTTCACTAACCCTGGATTCCAGCTACGATGATAACGACACAGCAGCAAAGCCCCCTCCTGCCCCGGCACCTGTAGCGGAACCGCCAGATAACGACCAGCACAACTCGCACCCGGGTCCGAGTGATGCTGCAAACGACAATGACCACATGCATCATGACGGCGGAGAAGAAGAAGATGACGACGACGTTGACTTTAATCTTGGAGGCGGCTCTAGTAATGCCGTTGCTGCTCCTCACCAGGATCCTGGCTCGTCGACACCTCCGTATGGAACTGTTCACAAGGCAAGCGCCAAGGATGATGGGTAAGTTTCGATACACCTTATGTGCACGTGAATCTTTTTTGTAAATTCTACCACGCTACATACCCCTGCTCCTGGGCCCTATAGTCCGTATCCATGGCTGGTGGTGGTCAGGGTCAGATGGAGGCCATTGGCAAAATTGGTCGGGCTGGTACATGCTGGATGGACACCTGGTTCTCCGCACAGGCTTGAGCGGGCGGCTTCATTCGGATGGGAATATAGACACTGGGAAAACTAGCTGGTTTGGCAGATATCTCAAGAAATATTCTCAACGTCCTTGTCTGGGAAGCTTCATTCTGGTCTGGGAAGTATGACTAGTGCCGAGTGTCACGACTTGTGGGTTGGACACCACGGTTCAACAAGGCGTATGATGGTCTACAAAAGGGCAGAGAAAAAGAGTATTGCGAAGTTGCGGAAAGAAAAAAACCAAAGACACTGGAGTGTATTTCACTTCCTATGGAGATGATCGAAGCAGAAGCAGCCGACTCTAGTCTATCTCAGGACAACCATCCTGTCTTCTATAGCCATCAACAACGGGAATCTGGAACTCCTTGATGCGAGTTTCGTACACCTTCGAAAGCTGTAGCAGCTAGATTCACAGCGACTAGCGCTCAAGGTTAGAGCATAACTAGCAAGAGACAGTCAGTATGAGCCAGACTATGCAGTTCAGAGCAGAGAAAGCCAGACGATAGCACAATTCGAAAGCAGACAGAAGCAGGACAGAAACCAAAAAAAAAAGACAGAATCGACAGAAAGGATATAGCATTGGGGCTTTACATGCTGGCATTCTGTGGCCTTGTCGTTGTGTTGGCTGCTTTTGTCGTGCGTTCTGCTGCGACACTGGCTCCGCCCTTACTGCCACCTCTCCTCGCCTCTCCCGTTGCCGGCAATCGAGGTTTATTGCTATGAATATCTGCGTCATTCTTATCTTGGCTTTGCCATGATGGGCCTGCGCTCGACTCTTGCTGGCGATTTCTCCGACTAGGCCAATTCACTACGCGGACTTGAAGTTTTCAGTCAACATCTCTGCTGTACGGAAGTCTGCTCCAGCATCCTAGTTTTCGCATGCGACTACACTCCATACTCCGCTCACCACGCCAGCTCGATGCAGAGATTGCCTGTACTTTGTTCTATGCGGCCAAAATGGCCAACGACCATGCCATGAACCATTGTCTGCCCGCTCTGGTGGACCCTGGTGTCTATCGTCCCTTTTTTGCTTTTGCGCTCGTACTATTTATGTGCATAGTGCTATGCTTTTTGTACATATAAGATAACCCGTTGGCTGATTATGTGCTTAGAAAAATGTTTATTGGTGGACTGAATTGGGAGACTACGGACCGTGAGTACAGTGTTTTGGCAGCATTTGTAGCGGCGAGAGACTTCTAACATGGCTTGCCAGAATCACTCCGAGAGTACTTTGAACAGTTTGGTGAAGTTGTTGAGTGTACCGTCATGCGTGATAGTACCACCGGACGATCTCGTGGATTTGGCTTTTTGACGTTCAAGGATGCCAAGACTGTGAATATTGTCATGGTCAAGGAGCACTTTTTGGACGGCAAGATTGTAAGTTTTTTTACATTAGTCCACGTATGCTCCGTGTATTACGGATATCCCCTAATGGAACCCGCCCCAGATTGACCCCAAAAGAGCTATCCCAAGAGATGAGCAGGAAAAGACGAGCAAAATCTTTGTCGGAGGAGTCAGCCAAGAGACCACAGATCAAGAGTTCCGGGACTACTTTGCACAATTCGGACGAGTTGTCGACGCCACGCTCATGATGGACAAGGATACGGGGCGTCCTAGAGGGTTTGGTTTCGTGACGTTCGAAAGCGAGGCCGGCGTCGAGGCTTGTATCAACGTGCCTCTCGAGATTCATGGCAAACCCGTCGAAGTCAAGCGGGCACAGCCGCGAGGCAATCTTCGTGAAGAGGAGGAGGCTGCCAAGCGTAGCAAGTTCAAGAAGGACGACCAATCTGGCGGGCAGGGCATGGGCCAGCAAATGGGCAACAGTGGCATCACGCCACAGGTCATGGCACAGTATTTCCAACGGATGCAGCAGTACTTTGCCATGTTCACCGGCCAAATGGCCATGAACCGTGGCATGAACATGAACCCAGCCATGTGGCAACAAATGATGCAGATGCAGCAGATGCAACAGATGATGGGCCGAGGCGGTGGAAACAACCCGCAGAACATGATGGGCAACATGAACCCTCAAATGATGCAGCAGATGCAGCAGCAGATGCAACAGCAAATGATGCAACAACAGAACCAACAGCAGCAGCCGCAACAAGGACCGGGCTCGCCAACGCAACCAGACCAAGGCGGCTACGGCCAGTTCAGCCAACCACCGCCCAGTGGCCCATCTGGCGGCAGGCGAGGCGGTAGAGGCGGTGCTTACGGAATGGGTGGTGGCCGTGGAGGAGGAGGAGGAGGCGGCGGTGGTCCAACCTCCTGGGAAGGCATGTACGACGACGTCCCGCAGCCTGACGCCGGAGGATATCGTCGTGGCGGACACGGCTCATCAGACGGTGGACACGGCGGCGCCGCACCATTGAATGCTCCCACGGGTCCCAAGAATGCAGGTCGCCCAGGAGCAAACTATCGCGGCGGCGGTCGTGGTGGGGGCCGGGGATATCACCCCTATGCTCGATGAGGGGCCATGGTTGCGTTCCGAGTTTTATAATCACAACAGCGGACAGGTGTTGGAGGGGGTCATGACGAAAGGGAACCAGCGATGAGGGGGGACACTGGACGCTGGCAAAGCAAAGAAAAGTGCAAAAACAAAAAAAAGATTGAGGCCATGTACTATACTATTTAGGGAGACTTGAGACGCCATCAGGTTAATGAGCTTGTTAATTCCGTAAAACAATACTCTTTCATCGCGGTAGCCGGTGTGCTAGGTTGTAGAGACTCTGCGCCGTGCTAGTGTCGTAGAGGTGAATCCCTGACATGCATGGGCCATTACAGCATCGCCATGAAGCAAGGCTGCCGAGGTCGCCAAAGACAAGACAAGCCCGAACCAGGAAACTCTGTGCAACTTCCAGCCCGTCAGCATGGTAAAAAAGAATGTTTTGCATGTTGCACATTCGTCTTCGAAACATCAGCCCCGCAGAATCATGGACTGCACATGGTGGATAAGCCAGCTTGGTATCAAACTTGTATTGCTGTACCTGGTATACTCCGTACTGGCGGCCACCAAAATCCCCCAAGACTTCCAAGGTGGTGACTGAGATCAAGGTACGCGGTCTAATAAATCTAGGTTACATGTGCCCCATGCCAAAAATGCCCAATCGTGTGCTTGCTAGTGAGACAAAAAAGAAAAAGAAAAAGTAAAGAGAATATGCAAAGTGATGAAATCGTTGAGAATGTCGAAATGCAATGTTCCATTACCAGGGATCCATGCAGCAATGTTGATGCTTTCTTCCCCTTTTCCTGTTTTGCGCCCCTGAAAAAAGAAAACAAAACAACAAAATTAGTCGTCAATCATCAGACGCTGCCGCGTTTTGCAACAAGGTTAGAACCAGCTCCAGTTGTCCACCTCTTCCAACTTTCGCAGCACCCCGACTGAGTCGGCGAATAGGATGTTTCGCCCGCCGAGACAGTCCCTTTCTAGAATGTCTCGGACAAAGCCTATAATGGCTTGTGAATCCTCCCCTTTCGGCAAGGCTTGGAGTTGACCGGGTTCGAGTTCCGCAACCGTGAGGACCCAGTTGATGGCTCTGCTTCGCGCGGGGAGCCGCTTGTCCGTCGTCGTCCGTTTGCCAACGTGTCCGAATGCCCAGCAGATGAGGGTACAGACGTACAACCCCCAGTAGTCGGAAATCTCTGTGCACGCCGTCATGCCGTAGGACGAGGTGCTGGCCTGTGCCAAGTTTTGCCCTAGCTTATCTGAAAGGTCTAGGAAGTCTCGAATGGCCCGGGCTGCGAATACAGTTGCAATTGCAGAAGTGCCCGAGTCTCGCCACTGGCCCAACTTTCGCTTGTATTCAGCAAACAGGCCTGCATCAGGTATCTTCTTGTTGAAAACCCAGCTATCGCCCGAGACTGCCAGCAGAACGTTCAACGGGGTATAATGTAAAGCGAGGTAAGTGTTGGCGCCTGGGCGGCGATTGAAGAATTTCGACATGAGCAGATCGTTGCTGTTGAAAGCGGATACGTCCTGGACCAACTCTACTTCCTGACGATTTTGTCGGGTTGGCAGCAGAAGGGCGTGAGCGGCAATGACAAGTGACACATCGAATGCTGGTGTTGTTTCCGTAGTTGACAAGGCCGGATTCTCCATGAAATCCCCAATCGTAGTCAACATGATGGTTGACATGTCAATCGCAGCCCATGCCTCGGCATTTCTAGCCTCCCAGAGGTTCGTTGTGCTGCCCGACAAAGCAATGCGAAATTTTGATGCAGCCAGATTGTCCAAGCCCAGCACAGTAGAATATGGTTGCTCATGATAGCACATGCCGTGAACACTGAGAAGAAAGCAAGCAGCCAACAGTCTTCGGCACGACTCAATGTATATCCACGCGTTCCAACGCTCAGTGTTGCCACCGGATGGTTGCGGAACAGTCCCAGAGCAGTACCCAGACACCTATAAATGTATACATTAGCACTCAGCCCCAACGAAAGTGACTTTGCAATGCCCGCCTACCATTTGACATAGCGTGAGGAACCGCGACGAGGGTTGATAGTCGTCCTTGTGTCGTCCTCGGAATCTGGCGTAGTACTCGCAGAGCAATACTGTTTGCATGATGGGTAGAGACCACGTGGTTGACTGGGCAAACTTAACACACACATCTCCGGTTAGCTTCATGAGCGACCAATTTCGGACTCAAAAGCAAAAGGGGGAAAGGGGGTACACCTACAGCTTTCGATTTGTGCCAAGCATAGGAGTGAAGTTGGCTGCCGTTAACACGATGTTCCCGGTGACCCAGAAACTGTGTCGCGAGTGCAGCCATGGCACATCGTAAAACATCCATATGCTCTGGGACGACACCTGCACCATCTTCCACAGTTGATCTGTGGATAATCGGGTAAAAAGGATGTACCTTATCCCAAAAGATGTCAATATAACTTGGCAGCGCGCTCCGAGCTTCCCGGCTTAGTGACACAGGCATCCAGTCCTGAGCTAGCAAGCCGAGCCTTGAAATCGGCTCCGGAGGACACGGCATAGAATTGACAATACGATCTGCTGGCAATGGTGCCGCAGCTGCGACCATTGTCTCTGAAGACTGGCCAACGACTAGCTGAGGGGACATACGCATGCTGGAGGCTGGGACATGGGGTCCATACAGTCCTGGAGTTTCTCCGTATGTGGGGATACCAACGGTCGGCTCATCGTCATAAACGGAAGAATATGTTTGCGGGACAGAAGGGCTATACCCGTACGCAACATACCCGCCCGTGGCCATGACGGATGGCGGCATGCCTCTGGATGTTGGTTGATCAACGCGGGCGGTCCAGGCACTGTTGGAAACGGCGATGGAGGACCGTTGATTGTCCTGTGAGAGTACGGCGGGCGTCGAGAAGGCGCCAGAAGTTGTCGACAAAGGCGTCGCAATACGTGGGCCGGCGGACCAAGTGATAGACGTAGTAGGGATCGTCGAAACACAAATCGAGGAGCTTCCGTCAACGGTGGGCAGACTAGGCATGATTCGAGGTTGTTCCGCAAACGCAGTTGCCGCTGTTGTTGGCATATTCGGCGCCGGTTCCACCAAATAGTCGCTCTTGATCCCGCCTATAGTGATTTCGTCTGGGCTATGTCGTACGGGAACTGTTGTTGGCTTGGCCGAGTGTGAGGCCCACGGAGACGAGTGTATCGACAGAGTCGTGGTCGGCGCTGTTGACAACGGAGTCGGTGAAGTACTACCATACGGCTGTTGAACTTGAATCAATGATCCTTGCGGAGAACTAGGATAGCTGGGTGGTCTTCGGCTACCTCCTTGGGAATAAGAACGATTAGATGGTTGGCCGTTATTTGGCTTTCCCACGCGATCATCCTGGTCACTGAATCGGGATTAATCAAACCGTCTTTTTGAGAATCCAAAGGGACTGCTTACTGTCGTTGTTGATGGCGCTCGAGGAGGTCCCGCCGATGAAACACTTTATCACATCCAGGGACTGTGCAGGGCAAAGCTGGAGGCTGATGGCTAAGCTGATGGCGTCTACGTGGTCTGGTCAGCACAAAACATCGTCTTATCTCATGATCGTACAAGAAGAGGAAGAAGAAGAGAAAAAAGCAAACCTCAGGTGCTCGGCTCGAGTAAAAGTCTTCACAAAGCAGAATATGTTAGCCAATAATCATATTCGGGGACAAGAGGTTGCAACAGCACCTTTGGTGGGCGGCAGATATCGCAAGTGTGGACTGGAACTCCCTTCCTTGCTCTGCTCACTCTTCCGGTAATAGGGGTCAATTTGACGGGAACATCTTGTGGAGGCACGAATGGTCTCATGGGCGTAGTAGAGAAGGATCCAGAGGTTCCATGCCCATAGACTTGTCCTTGACCGTAGTGGGAATCCATCGAGTCCGCGCTAGCGTTGCTCTGGCGCCTATCGTGAAGATTCCGACTGCCCGCATAACCACCATAAGCCATACCTGACGGATGCTGATCAACTGGCAACGAGTGCAAGGAGCGGTTTGGAGGACTTAATCTCTGGCTGCAAGAAGGGGACGCGTTCATGGAGTAGTCCGAGCCTTGACCATAAGAAACAGAGCCCATTGAAGCAGCTGGATGTTGTGATGATCTTGATCCGGTGTCCATGGTCTTCTTTAAAGAATGAGAATTAGCATGATCGTCATCGGCATCGACGTTCATGATATTTCTGAGACTGGCCATTGTTGGTTGTAAGTAAGATGGAAGCAGCTGTGTCAAGTGCCCGAGAAAGCCCTGCGTCGGAGAATACTAATATCAACAACCACTTCACACAGCCTTCTCGGCTACTAAGTTAAGAAACCTCAGGTAAGCAGGCAGGTTCCTATATTGGGAGAGATCTTCCGAGACCAGTATCCAGAGCAAGTGACCTTTGGGGCTGTGAGAGTCGAACTCTGGTTGACGTAACAATATTGTTCAATATACGAGGTAAGAATGCAGCTTAGGAAGAAGTGTATGGCAGACCAAGACTCGGGATGGTTTGCCTTCAGCCTCATGAGACAGCTGGGATGTTGAGATGACACACAGGACCCATCTGCAATGAAACACAAGATGTCCTGGCGAAATATTCAGGACGAGAAGGTAATGATTACTTGATCACAGGTGAGCAGGCGGAATTTAAAAAAGAGGTTGAGACCGGGCAACTCATTGCGAAGAAGGAGACGGAAGATGACCCATGATCCCAGCGCCATGGCGACCAACAAGCCTGGCAGCTGAGCGAGGCCCGCAGGAACGATTACAATGTACATGGCCCACGCCGTCTGAGAAGGGAACAAATCGCGGTCTGCGACAAATATGGTGTAAAGCGGGCTATGGATTGCTGACAACTGGGGAAACGAAAGCAGACCGCCGCTCTCGAGTTCTTGGGTGACCCTTGTCGAGGCTGACAGCGTAAGATGTAAGAGCAGCCTCAGTGGAGGTGAACCAACACGGCGGAAACGGGCTACCTGCGACTCATGGAGCCAGGTAAGGTAGGGGGTGCAAAAGGAATAGGGGACCAGGATCTAGTCCAGCCTCGTCCTGATCGAGCCAACTGCTCGTGGTTGGAACTGGCTCGATACACACACGCTCATATGCTTCGTCGCCCTTGTTGTTGTTGTTGGTACGATGTAAGTTCTGGCTGGCCAGCACTTGTTAAAACCTGCAGTGTGAGCGTTACCAACACATCATTGGAACTCTTCTGCAGAGTCACCAAGAGCTACTAGCCTAAATAATTCACCCACACCCCGCCGTCACGGGTCGACTCTATTGTACCCTACGGGAAAATGCTCATATCTACTAGTAGCTAGCTGGTTAGCCACAGCACCCTTCATAGGCTCTGGAAATGTATGTACATACACAGAGACTGGAGACTAACAACCAAAGTGCAGGGCCTGCGGGCACCATGCGTGGCGTTCCGCGGTCGTGGCGGGTATGGCGTCAAGTGTGACCAAGCTCAGTGGAGCATAGCAGCGCGCTGAAAGCCTGCTGGAGCTCAAGTATGAGCAGGATGGAGGGTCGAATCCAAGGCATGGCGTCGGTGGCTGTGAGGGTTGGCAGCCGCTTGGATCAGCGGGACGCGGGGCTGGACAAGAGTTGGTGGAAGGGCTGAATGATTGGTGTTTGGATGGGTGCGACGGTGGCGGAAGGAGCCCAGTGTACTCAACCAACAGAACCTCAGAGAAGAGGTATTTGGGTGTATTATGGGTGCACAACCGTTGATCCGTGCCCTATCTTTTGCGGTATCCAATACGGATGACTCTCGCCTCAGATTATGTATGTAAGCTGAGGGCTAATACAGGGGCAGGTGAGGTTGGTGGTGGTGGACGCAGCTGGGTGTCGGCGGCCAAGGGCGCACGGCATTCTCGGAAACATAAACGGCTGATGCTGATGTTGGAATTGTAACCCTAACTCGTGATTCTGGACCTGAGATGGGAATACGCAGTAGTGATGATAGGACGTCAAGATGTGACAGGCCATACCGGTTACAAAATGATCTCCATGATCCCTGCCGCAACGGCATGGGCGGAAAAGCCGGGATCAAAGCTAGTAGGAATTGGCAAGACCGAAAAAATTGGGAGAGCCCTTGCCCATGCCAGCGTAAATCTTCCGTGTATATCATGGGGAAGTTGGCCGGGCGCTCGCATGCTCGCTTTCTCGCACAAGGCCCTCCCCCTCATGGTGCCGCTCTTCTACTCTTCCAGGAAAACAAGATCCGGGAAGAAAAGAAGTTGATTGTCCGGTCCTTCTTAATGGAGAGTAGTGTACGGAGTATCAGCCTGGCAAATGCAAGTCAGAAGATCGACAGTCGAATCAGACGAACGAAACTGTGTTTTCGTCCGACCAACTTGGTTGGTGAGGGTGAGATTACGCACCAATAAGCGTGTGATGACGGCGCTGCTGAGGCCCGTCATTGGCAGAGACGACGACGGGACCGCCCTATCTTCCCTTAAGAGCCTGTCTGCGTCGCGGGGATGTGTCCTTGTTGGTAAGATATTATGTTGTAAACCGGGTTCAACATGAATTGTGGGATGCTGCCGGTGTTGTCGGTGTTAGTTAGTGACTTTCGAGAAATGCAGTTGGAACGAGTTAGTGTTAGCACTATTGCCATTGTTGGTCCCGTGGAACAAGCCAAGTTCGGGGCAGCTATTGGCTTGGCCGGTCGCTTTGCGTAGTTTGTAACCGTCTGCTCCGTAATGAGACCAGGGTTAAGACTGGCTGACCCATCAACATACATGAGGATCGCCCACGTTGTGATGAACAACAACAGTACATATGTACACGCACACACATCCAGACGCTCCAACGCTCCATCTCTGTCAGTCTCTGTTGCTCCGTCGCCCTCCGGTTCTCGCTGAATGTTGGCCGAGCCTCGCGGAATCCTTTTTGTCTTGCCCCTCACCTAGGCTAGCGGGGAATGACGGGGATGTCATTTGCACCACCGCCTTGGAGAATGTCATGGCCGCTGACCCATACCGCAAGCCATGTCACTAGCCAACGCCAGAAGGAAGCTGAGGTGCTGACTTTCGAGATAGGGGTGTGGTGGCACAGAGGACATACTTTTATCCAGTTGGCGTCATGGAATTAACAAGGGCGTCGGAGAATCCTCGCTTGTTGGTTGTACGTGTTGTGTGAACAAGACGGAGTACTAGTAGTATGCACGTATACTTGTTGGGCCCTGTGTTAGTACGGTTGCATACGTACAAACATAAATGCAAGCTTGTCTGCCAGTACCTGGGCTGCCAGTGCGTGGCCTCTTGAAGAACAAGTGTCGGGCCGTCGAATTCAACTCGTTTCAGCTGCTCTATTGGAGCACATGGTGGGCCAGTATCTGTGTTTGCAAGATGACCTATCGCGCGTGGTCGCTTCAAATGGACAATTCAGGAAGTACCCGGCAAGGGTTTAGCCGTCAGCTCTGGATCTTTCCCCATATGACTGAACTTTGTTCGAGAGGAGGTCGGAACGACGGGACGCACCTAGTCGAGACAAGCAAGCCAGGTACGCCATGCAACGATGGGGGCCATCGAGCCAGCCAGGGTGCCAACGCGCCTGTGTGTCAGGGATGGTGGTGCATCAGCCCTGGGGACCTGGGAAGTTCGGGCAATACTGACACCTCGCTACCCAGATCAGGGCTGTCGTCAGGGTTGCCACGTTGAGCGGCGCCTATTCCACCAGTATCATGACCGAAGCAGTCGAAGGGGGGAGATTGGGTGAGCAATCCAAGCCAGGCCGGATTGGAGCTCGAAGCCCAGGTCTGACTCCGGCTGGGGACGGTCAACTCGGGTGTTGTAGTGATGCATGTATTGTCCTTGCGGCCTCCTTCGGCCAGCTTGGAGGCATTCATGGTGGAAGGCACGAGAAGATGCAAAAAGTCGACAACCAACAGCGGGCAAGATGCGCCATCATCTGCAACAAGTGGCATTAATTTCTGCCCTTGTTGGAGAGAAAGGAGTCCAAGCACCAACACCAATGAGGGGGGACCAGAGCCAGGTCCAGTCGACCTCTGCGCGCGTATCACGGCAAGTGGGAGCCTTTGGCGTTCCTTCCCGACTCTCTGGATTGCCAAT